TTCTCTCCCTTCTTATTCCTCCTCCTCCATTCTTTACATGTTGGGTGTTTTATTCTGTGCTCTTTTGTGTTTCCTTTAACTGCTTTTGTGGGTAGTTGATTTTATTTTTTGCCTTTAGTTAGTATTTGGTTGGTCTGCTTTCTTTGCTGTGATTTTATTTTCTCTGGTGAAATCTATTTAGCTTTAGGAGTGCTCCCATCTAGAAAAGTCCCTCTAAAATACCCTGTAGAGGTGGTTTGTGGGAGGCAAATTCCCTCAACTTTTGTTTGTCTGGGAATTGTTTAATCCCTCCTTCATATTTAAATGATAATCATGCTGGATACAGTATCCTTGGTTCAAGGCCCTTCTGTTTCATTGCATTGAATATATCATGCCATTCTCTTCTGGCCTGTAAGGCTTCTGTTGAGAAGTCTGATGAGAGCCTGATGGGTTTTCCTTTGTAGGTGACCTTTTTCCTCTCTCTAGCTACCTTTAAAACTCTGTCCTTGTCCTTGATCTTTACCATTTTAATTATTATGTGTCTTGGTCTTGTCCTCCTTGGGTCCCTTCCATTGGGAGTTCTGTGCACTTCTGTGGTCTGATTGATTATTTCCTCCCCCAGTCTGGGGAAGTTTTCAGCAATTATTTCTTCAAAGACACTTTCTATCCCTTTTTCTCTCTCTTCTTCTGGAACCCCTATAATGCAGATATTGTTCCTTTTGGATTGGTCACACAGTTCTCTTAATATTGTTTCACTCCTGTAGATCCTTTTATCTCTCTCTATGTCAGCTTCTATACGTTCCTGTTCTCTGGTTTCTATTCCATCAATGGCCTCTTGCATCTTATCCTTTCTGCTTATAAATCCTTCCAGAGATTGTTTCATTTCTGTAATCTCCCTCCGGACATCATCCCTTAGCTCTTGCATATTTCTCTGCAGCTCCGTTAGCATGTTTATGACCTTACTTTTAAATTCTTTTTCAGGAAGACTTGTTAGGTCTATCTCCTTCTCAGGGGTTGACTCTGTGATTTTGGTCTGTATCAAATTCTTCTGCCTTTTCATGGTGATAGAGATAGTTTGTGGAGCTGGCACTTGTGACGACTGGGAGAACGTCCCCTCTTGCTGATTTGTGGCCTTCCTCTCCTGGGAGAACAGTGACCCCTAGCGGCTTGTACTGGGCAGGTGCATGAAGATGGGGTGTCTGATTCTTGCCTGGGCTGCTGTCGAGCTGTGCACGGCTGCTGTGGTCGTGGCAGGCCTCAGGCTGCGGATCCGATATGGCGGGGCCGCGCTGGAGGGGGAACGGGCAGGAGGCTGTTTGTCACCATGAGGGGCCTCCATGTTGTGCTGCTCTCAGGGGGTTAGGGTGCCCGGAGTTCCCCAGGATTCCCAGCTGCTGGGCTGAGTGCACTGGGATGCTTCTGTCCAGCTGTGGGGTCCCTGTCCCTTTAAGACTTTCAAAAAGCACTTGCTTTTCTTTGTCCCAGGGGTGCTGGCTGCGGGGACCCACTCACAGGTCTTACTGTCCCATTTCCCTAGTTTCCAGCACCCCACGCACGCACTGTGTCTGCGCTCTGATGCGGATGGCTAGGGCTGGGTGTTTAGCAGTCCTGGGCTCCCTCTCCCTCCCTGCTCCGACTCCTCTCCTCCCACCCGGAGCTGGGGTGTGGGGCGCTCAGGTCCCACTGGGCCTTGGCTTGTATCTTACCCCCTTTGCAAGGCACTGGGTTCTTGCAAGTGTTGTCCTGTGTCTTCTGGTCTCTCTTTTAGGGATAGTTGTATTTGTTGTATTTTTAAAAATATATGATTTTGGGGGGAGATTTCCACTGCTCTACTCATGCTGCCATCTTGGCTCCTCCCTCACCAGAACAATTTTTGAAAAAGAATAATTAAGTTGGAGAACTCATATTACCTGAGTTGAAGACTTTCTTTAAAGCTACCCAAATCAATCAGCATTGTACTGACAAAGATCAATTGACAAAAATCAATAGGGCAGAAAGAGTCCCACTCACATATGGCTAATTGATTTTTGACAAAGATGGAAATGCAACTCAATGGAGAAAGGATAATCTTTTCGACAAATTGTTTTGGAACAATTGGTCATCCATATACAAAAATATGAACCTTGACCAAAATCTCACACTTAAAGATTAATTCAAAATGGATCATAGGTATAAATGTATAATGTAAAACTATAACCTGGATTTAGGTGAAGCGTTCTCATAAATGACACCAAGATCAAAATCCACAGAAGGAAAACATGTATATATTGGATTTCATCAAAATTAAAACATTTACTTTACCAGTGATACTGTTAAGGAGAATGGAAAGACAAGCCACAGATGGGTAGAAAATATTTGCAAACTATATGTTTGAACTCTCAGACTCAGCAGTAAGAAAACAAACAAAGCCTTAGAGGCAAAAGATTTAAACAGACACACGTCACCAAAGAAGATGTATGGAAGGCAAATGAGTATGTGAAAAAATGCTCACCATCACTAGCCATTAAGGAAATGGATGTTAAAACCACACTGAGATATCTCTAATGCCTATTTTAATAGCTGAAATAAAACAAAATGGACAATATTTCACCAGTAAGAGTTCAGAGCCTCAGTCTGGTAGGCAGTTTGGCAGTTTCATACAAAGTTAAACATATATTTACCATATGACCCAGCAATCCCACTCCTGGACATATATACAGATATATGTAGAGAGTGATAATGTTTTTCAAGACAGTATAATATGTTGTAATCATTCTGGTTTAGGGGTCCTTCCTCAGTGTTTCTATCACTTTATTCTCACTTTGTTTCCAGAACAAAAGAATGTAAGCTGTACCACAAAAGAACGCAGCAATATGAGGCTAGAGAAGAAGCATTAAATGTTCTATCTTTTTCAAATCTAACTGGGTCATCTCTCTCAGGAATGGAGAGTTTAGCCCACCTGCATGGAATTTATTTGTACTATCTTGTATTTCCTATTTTTTTGTCAATTTTTCATTTTTTTTCTCCCTTGCTGCTTTTTAAAAATTCCACCTTTTCCCCTTACTATTTGGAAGTTAGACACACTTGTTTTCCCACTTGGGGGGGATTACCCTTGAAATTTTACCATTCATAGTCTGTTGTTGTTTGGTTTGGTTTCCAGCATTAAGATATAATTGACATATAGCATTGTGTAAGTTTAGGTAGGTATACTTAAATATTGCAAAATGTTCACTACCATAGTGTTAGATAACAGCTCCGCATCAGGTCATATAATTACCATTTCTTTTCTGTGGTGAGGACATTTCAGATCTATTCTCTTATCAACTTTCAAGTATATTATACAGTAGTGTTAACTGTAGTCACCATGCTATACATTAGATCCCCAGAACTTATTCACCTTATAACTGGAAGTTTGTATGTACAATTTGATCAACATGTTGCCATTTCCCCCCCTCCCCCAGCCCCTGGTAACCATCATTCTACTCTGATGGTTTCTACGAGCTCACCTCTTTTAGATTACATAGAAGTGGAATCATATAGTATTTTCTCTGACTTCTTTTACTGATGATCACATTTCCCTAATGATTAGTGACGTTGAGCCAATTTTCATGTAACTATTGACCATTTGTATGTCTTCTTTGGAAAAATGTCTATCACTTCCTCTGCTTATTTTTTAAATCAGGCGTTTTTTTTTTGTTATTGACTTGCATGAGTTTTTTACGTTTTGTGGTTCCATACGAATAGTCACGTTTTCCATCAGCATTTAGCAAACAGTTAATTCTTCCTGCTACTGGTACGAAATGCTGCCTTTATCATACATTAAATTTCCATTTATACCTGTGTCTGTTTCTGGACTCTATACCCTACTGGACATACTCATCTATACCTGCATTAAGATCACACTTGTAATTACAATAGCCTTATCATATCTTTTAATACTTTGTAGGACAAGATACTTTGATTCTCGATTAGTTGCACTAAGCTGGTGTCTGAACACTGCCTAGTGAATTTGTGGACCACCATCTCACAGAGCAGACAAATGTTTATTGAGTGGATGGATGGATAGATGTATGGGGGAGGCTTTCAGAAACAATTCCCTTAGTAGACTGAATGTTACTTTTACTTAGCTTTTTATTTAGAAATAATTTCAAACTTACAGAAATGCCACAAGAATAGTACCAAGAACTCCCATATGCCCTTTACCCAGATTCACTAATTTTTAACATTTTGCTACATTTGCTTTATCATTCTCTTTTCTCTTACATACTTTGATTACTTATTCTCCATTTAAGAATAGGTTGTAGACATCATACCCCTTTATCTCTTAATACTTCATTGTGTATTTCCTATGAATAAAAATATTCTTACATAACCAAAGTGGAGTTATGAAATCAAAGAATTAATATTGCTACAATACATTTATCTAATTGGCAGCCAATATTCCAATTATATCAATCAATGCTATATTTTGTAGCATTTTATCCCTCCAGTTGAGGGTCCAGTCTGAGATCCTGCACTGGGTCTAGTTGTCCTGCTTCTTTATAATCTGTTTCCTTGAATGTAGAACATTAGTAGCTGTTGGTTAAGGGCCTTTTGTTCTGGTTTCTCCTCTGTGTAGTTACTATTTTTCCTCTTGCAGCTAATAAGCATTTACAGGGAGATATTTTGGGACCATGCAAATGCCCTGCTTGTCATTAAACTATATAGCATCCAAATCCATTCTTTACCGTGATATTCCATGACTCTCCTCACTTTGGGACTGGGACCTAACTGATCAAGTATTAACAATCTACTTTGGAAGGTATAATGCTGTCTCTTCTTGGGAATAACGTAATGTGTATAACAATCATTTCTAATCATATTATGACAATCCAAAATAATATATCTGGGTGCTGCTAAAACCTCTTGTTTCCCATTTCTTTTGCAGGCATCAATGGCTATGTTTTTGATAGCTTGCAGCTGTCAGTTTGTTTGCATGAGGTGGCATACTGGTACATTCTAAGTGCTGGGGCACAAACTGACTTCCTCTCTGTCTTCTTCTCTGGATATACCTTCAAACACAAAATGGTCTATGAAGACACACTTACCCTATTCCCTTTCTCAGGAGAAACTGTCTTCATGTCAATGGAAAACCCAGGTTAGGTATTTGTATTTTTCTTTTACTAACAACAGTTATTATTTCAGTAGGCATTCATATGCTCTTTTGCCCACTAGCTCACAATTGGGCAGATACTAAATGGTTCGAGTGATTTTTGTAATTGCAAAGTATTTTAATGGCAGTACTACATCATATATTTAACTTAAAAGCCTTTGCTTTAAAAAGTGCCTTCATTTGCCATGGGCCACACGTAGTAATCTCCCTTTGCACACATACCTTTGGGCTGAATGTGATGAATGCCAGTTTCTCATCTTCCCCTTCCCTTGATAAGCACTGCAAGGCTTTTGGGAGTACCAGCCCTGTGGCGAGGAGGAACACTGACCTGGCTGAAATCCAACGCAGGCTGTTGCTCCATTCGTACAGCTTAGTAACAACTATGGGCCACTCCATGCTCCTGGTCCAGGCCACCCCCACCAGCTGCAGGGGGAAGCATATAAAACTACCCTCAGATTGCAGTTCTCATTTTACATTTATGGGTTTTCTGGAGAAAAATACCCATCGGGAAATTTCTGGGGAATAAAAATCAATCCCATCATATATGAACATATATTCACCTTCATACCCAGGAACTTATCTTACTACAAGGGATGTGTTTTTGTGGGGAGTGAAAAAGAACTCCATAGAACTCCAGTAGCACCTCTGAACGTATCTTATTTATGTTTATGTCTTTGTTTTTCTGTTTTCCAACTAAGTTGCAAGCTCTCTGAGGACAGAGACCTTGTTTATCTTGTTTGTCACTGCATCTCCAATGTTTATAGTGCCTGGCTTATAATAGGTACTTAGTAAATATTTTTTCAACAAATGAATGAACTAAATGTGTGCAAAACTGATTATAAAATGATAGGTATAATATGGTTGTAATTGCCTAAACCAAAGAGAGAAAATTGTGTGCGTGTGTATGCGCACAGAAAAAAATATTTAAAATACAAATATTTTGAGAAGCTTTTAAATGACTTTGGTGACCACTTAAATTCTAAAGACAAATTAAAACTCTGCTTTTTGTGTTTTGAGGGAAAAATTTTTAAAGTAATATCATTTATTACAAAGCTTAAGCTAAATAAAGCCCTTAGAGATTTCCTGTGTTTGCTGTGATAAAGTGATTCCTTTTACTTGTTCATTTTATTCAGGTAAAATTCACATAACATAAAATTTATTATTTTGACCATTTAAAGTATACAATTCAGTGGCAACCATCGCTACTATCTAATTCCAGAATATTTTCATCAGTCCAAAAAGAAACCATTTACCATTAAGAAGTCACTCCCTATTCCCCACTCCCCTAACTCCTGGCAAACACTATGGATTTGCATCTGTGGGCTATTTCATATAAATAGAACAACATTTGCCCTTTTGTGTCTGGCATGCTTCCAAGGCTCATCCATTGAAGTTTGTTGTAGCATGTGTCAGTACATGATTCTTTTTAGACTATACGGTTCACTTTACACTCTGCTTTAGCCACATACCACCACAAAAGAAAACACTATGGTGGTACTCATATTGCAATATATAAATATATTAAGCCAACACATTGTACATTTAAAGCTAGAAAATGATATCTGTCAATCAAATCACAATTAAGGAAAAGAAACTATAGTCAGCAGGTCACCCCTTTTTGGTAAATAAAATTTATTTGAACACACACAAAAGAATATAGTTAATTCCAGCCCAGACTGGAATAGGAGGAAACATGGGTCCAGGAAGTCAGTCTCTAAGCAGAAAAGAATATGTTTTATGATGGAACTCTTGAAAAAGACAGGATAACTAAAGGGAAAATATTATAAGAAGAATAGGAAAACAATTAGAAGGTCCAGTTAAACAATTTATAAAAATAAGAACTGTAATCCTATTTGGTTGCACAGTGAACATTATATAGTCCTAATAATGTGATTTCACTAAAAGTAGGGACATGGCTATATCATAAATTTGGGGATTGGAAGCCCAATTATATAGGGGTTGAAAAAAACCTGAAACTTAGTATTTGCAGACAATTTGATTGCATGCATAGAAAATCTTATGGGAATATATAAAATAACTGTCAAATCTTATAAGTGAATTTAGCAAGATTGTAAGATACAAGGTCCAGTTATCAACTTGGGACTTTTTTTCACCCTCCTTCAGGATAAGTACCTGGCTCCTGGTTCCCATGTTGTAGAAAGCATTATCTAATTACTTTCCAGGAATGGCTGCATTAGAGGTAGATTTTCTGAATCCTTTATGTTAGAAAATATCTTTATTCTAATTTCCCATTTGGCTGATTATTTGGTTGCACATAGAGTACAGTGTGCATCAATTCCAAAATGGAAAGGAAATAGCAACCTTTCCATGGGCAGAGAAACCATTATCTGACAGGGCTCTGTGGAGATATACTTTGGGGAAAGTTTTCCCTTTGAGGAAAGGGAAAATTAAGATTCTGCTTGCAAATATCGTGTGAGATAATGAGGCTCTTGAGGTACCTTATGGGTAGCTTGGTAAAGGTGTCATTTTTTCACATATGCTTATGAATCTACTTTACTGCTATGAAATTCCTTCATTTGAATAATCCTGTCCATAGTGGAAATTAATATTGCTAGCACTATGATGAAATTTTACATTATGGGTATCCTTAACCTAAGTCCTGCTCCTCTGTGCTTACTCATCTTGCAAATTGATGACAGTGGGTGCTGGGCATTGTGTTATATGATTTGAATGCATTATATGATGGGGTAGATACTATTAACCTCATTTACAAATTAGAAAACTGGAGCTCAGAGAGCTCAACCAACTTGCTCAAAGTCACACAGCTGGTAAATGGTAGAGCTAGGATTTGAACCCAGGTAATCTAACTCTAGAACCTGTGCCATTAGGTTATTTAGCAATAACAGCTAACCTATATAAACTGCCCTGAATTAAGTTACTGTCATCATCAAAGAGTTCTGTGTGACTAGTAAGACTCTCTGCTATTGTGCATATTAATTGTATTTCTCCCTTTTTATCCCATTATCTGTTTACTTTTAATCACAGCCCTTTATTGTGGTTACAAACAGATATACCATAACAGCAGCAATTCAAAACTCACTTTTACTCCCATTGCTGGGCTACTGTTACAGGTGTCAGGGATTTGGCCCAATGACCTGCCTAGTATTTTTTCATTTACCTGGGAATGGAAGAGAGCCTCTAACACAGAACTTGCCTGGGACCTGGGTCATGAGTAACCAGAATCTTATTCTTCCTCATCTCCAGGTCTGTGGGTTCTGGGGTGCCACAACTCGGACTTTCGGAACAGAGGCATGACAGCCTTACTGAAGGTTTCTAGTTGTGACAGGAACACTGGTGATTATTATGAGGACACATATGAAGATATTCCAACCTCTCTGCTGGATGAAAACAATGCCATTGAACCTAGAAGCTTCTCTCAGAATTCAAAACACCCTGACACTAGGCAAAAGCAATTAAAAGCCACCACGACTCCAGAAAATGACATACAGAAGATTGACCCTCAGTCTGGAGAGAAAACACAGCTGCTTAAAGTACAAAGTGTCTCCTCTAGTGGTTTGCTGATGCTCTTGGAACAGAATTCTACTCCACATGGATTATCCTTATCTGATCTGCAAGCCACATATAAGGCTGACAATCCTTTACCTGGAGCAATAGAACGAAACAAGACCCCATCTGAAGTGGCACGCTTTAGACTAGAGCTCCGTCACGGTGAGGACGGAGTATTTACTCCTGAGCCAGAGGTGCAACTAAGATTAAATGAGAATCTGGGGACAACTATAACAGTAGAGTTGAATAAACTTGATTTAAAATTTTCTAGTTCATCAAACAATCTGACAATTCCATCAGACAAGATTGCAGCAGGTACTGAAAAGATGATAGGTTCCTTAGGACCCTCAAATATGGCGGCTCATTTTAGTAGCCAGTTAGGCATCACTGTATTTGACAAGAATTCATCTAATCTTATTGGGTCTGGTGTACCTTTGGGTTCAAGTAAAGGGGATAATGATTCCAAGTTGTTAGATGCAGCTTTAATGAATAGTCAGGAAATCTCACTGGGAGAAAATGTGTTATCAGTGGAGAGTGATAGGTTATTTAAAGAGGAAAGAGTTCATGGGTCTGTTTCATCAACCAAAGATAATGCTTTATTCAAAGTTAATATCTCTTTGGTAAAGACAAACAAGGCACCAATTAACTCAACAACTAATAGCAAGACTTACACTGATGGCCCAACATTATTGATTGAGACCAGTACATCAGTCTGGCAAGATTTTGTATTAGAAAGTAATACTGAGATTGAAGAAATGACTTCTTTGATTTCCAATGAAACATTTGTGGACAGTACTACAGCTCTGGGGCTTAATCATGTATCAAATAAAACTACTTCATCAAAAAATATGGAAATGGTCCGCCAAAAAGAAATGGGTGCAGAAAATCCAGATATATCATTCTTCAAGATGCTATTCTTGCCAGATTCAGAAAAATGCATAAAAAAGACCTATGACAAAAACTCCTTAAGCTCTGGGCAAAGGTCCAATCCAAAGCAATTAACACCTTTAGGATCAGAAAAATCTGTGAAAAATGAGAATTTCTTGTCAGAGATGAGTAAGGTGGTAGTAGGAGAGGATGAATTTACAAAGGGCACAGGACTCAAAAAGATGATTTTTCCAAACAGCAAGAGCATATTTCTTACTGATTTGGCTAATGTCCAAGAAAATCACACACACAGTCAAGAAAAAATATCCCAGGAAGAAATAGAAAGGAAGGAAAAATTAATCCGAGAGACTGTAGTTTTGCCTCAGGTGTATACAGTGACTGGCACTAAGAATTTCCTGAAAAACCTTTTCTTACTAACCACTAAGCAATATGTAGAAGGTTTAGATGAAGGAACATATACTCCGATACTTCAAGATACCAGATCATTAAATAATTCAGCAAACCAAAAAGGGGCTGGAAGGTTGTACTCTCAAAAGCTATCAAAACTGATCTCAAAACGCCACCAGAGGGACATAACCCTTCCTACTCTTCAGCCAGAGGAAGACAAAATTGACTATGATGATATCTTCTCATATGAAACAAAGAGAGAAGATTTTGACATTTATGGCGAGGATGAAAATCAGAAACCCCGCAGTTTTCAAAAGAGAACACGACACTATTTTATTGCTGCCGTGGAGCGGCTCTGGGACTATGGGCGGAGTAGCCCCCCTCCCGCACTGAGAAACAGGTATGGGTACATTGTTTATTCTGTGATCTTTGACTTTACCAGGTGCCCAAACAAGAGAAAAGGCACAGCCAATCTGCAGGCAGATGGCAAAGATGTTTCCAGGCAGAAGGAACAGGAAATGCAAAAGCTCTGAAAATGGAACACGTTTAGCGTATTTGAGGAACAAAAAAGGACCAGCATGACTGGAGTACAGGGAAGAACAGGGTCGGGGTGGGTTGTGGCACATGAGGTGGTAGAGATAATATAGGTCCTAGAGGAAGGGGACTGACAATTACTCATTGTCACTTTCCCACCTTGCTTTCTACCTCAAGTGAGCCCTTATTCCTGCATGACAACCACAGGATATTTCTCCAGCCCAGCTTTCCCACTCTCCTAGAGCTCTGTCTTCCATTCTCTGCTTGCTCCTTAGATCTCGAACACATTTTGCTCATTCACCCACACCCCTTCTCACTCTTAGCTGATGCTGTACAGTGAACCTCCACAGACTACCAGTCCTACATTTATCAACATCTGTACCCATATACTGTCTTCATGCTTATGACAATAAATGGGCTGTCTGTGCTCCTAAGGCCAGTCTCTCTATTTTTACAGTTGATCCCATCCACGTCAGTTTCTCCCTCTCCACTGTTAATCTCACCAGCATCAATGCTGTTGTTTCTCCTCTTAAAACATTTTCAGAAAAGATTTTCAAATTATCTTCTGTACTTATTGTCTTTACTTCTTTTCATTCTTTCTTTAAGACACTCCAGAGAGGCTTTTATCTCCATTATTCCATAAAAATTACATTTTCAAGGTCACTGATGATCTTTGCTAATTCTCAATCCTCATCTCAGTTGAACCTTCAGTGGTATTTGATAGTTGGTTACCCCGTCCTTCATACATTTTCTCACGTGGTCTCTGGTGCCATTTTCTCTTCATTTTTCTACTAAACTCGCTGTCAGTCTTTCTCTTTCAACTTTGCTGATTCTTCATCTCTCTAGCCTTTAAATGTTAGAGCGCTCTGGGTATTAATCCTCAGCAATATCCTCTTTTCTGTTTATGCTCATTCTTGTGATGATCTCAACTACCTCATGGTTTTAGGTATTATCTATGCAGACAATTTCCAGCTATGTATCTCTGTCTCAGATCTCTCCCTTGAACTTGAGGCTCACATATCAACTCCCTACCTTAACATGTACAAAAGTAAACTATTAATTTCTACCCCTTCCCAAAACCTGCTGTTTTACCACCTTCTCCATGGCAGTCAATGACCATTCCTTCCTTTCCGCTACTCAGACTCCAAACCTTGAAGTTATTGCTAACTCCCCTTTTTTCCTGACAGCCACATCTCATCCATGCAAGAATCCTGTTGGCTATAACTTCAAAAAGTAGTCAGAATTTGATTATAGACAGAGTATTAGATAAGATGAAAATGTACTGAAATGGGAAATTGGAGATGGTTGACTAGGAAGAAATGACAGGTTAAAAAACAAGAGAAGACATTTAATAAAACGTTACTCTATATGCCGTAAAGTTTTTAATTTTTAAAAGTGTTATTTGTTTATATTTTCAAGCTTTCTACAACGCATAGGTACTGCTTCTATAATAACAAAAATGTATTAAAATAATAAAATCAATCTGTATATACACACACAGACACACACAATCCAGCTACTTCTCTCTACTTCAGTGGCTACCATCCTGATCTAAACCATCATCACGTCTCAGCCAAATTATTGTAACAGCTTCTTAACTGGCCTTCCAGCTTCTAGCCTCGCCCTCATACAGTTTTTTCCCAACATTAACAGCTAAAATAATATTTCAAATTGCAATTATGATTATTGTTCTCAGCTCCAAACCCTCCAATGGATTTTCATCTCACCCTGAGTGAATTTCAAAGCTGTCACCATGGCCTTCAAGTCTCTATCAATCAGATTTGACCCTCTGAAATCTCTCTGCCCTCATCTCCAGCATCATTTCCCGGTCACTCTGCTTTAGCCATGCTGGCATCATTGCTCTTCCTCAAATGGAACAAGTCTGCACTATCTCTAGGCCTCCTGCACTTTCTGTTCTCTGCTTGGAATTCTCTTCCCTTGATATCCTAATGTTAGTTCTCTGACTTCCTTCTGGTTACTTCTTAAATTTCATTTCATGCTTTCCCTAGCACCTGAAATATTATTCATTTTTTGTTTATCATCTATCTTCCCCAACAAGAAGGTAAGCTCACTGAGAGCATGAACTGTGAAGGTGTGTTCGGTGGTTTATCTCCAGAACCCTGAACAGTACTTGGCATGTGATAGAAGCAAAAATATCTGTTGTATGAATTAGTAAATGATGGATGTAGGGAGGTGAAAACAGGTCTTTCATGTATGTCCAAACTCCAGGGATTACCAATTAAATGGAGTTGTGTAACACAGTTTTCACGAGCAAGAGTGGAGACCAGGAGACCAGTTAGGATGGGTGGGAAGGGAGGGACAAGGGGGAAAACGGGGCATTACGATTAGCAGACATAATGTAGGGGGAGCATGGGAAGGGCTGTACAACAAAGAGAAGACAAATCCTACCAACTGCAACAACATGGATGGAGCTGGAGTATATTATGCTCAGTGAACTAAGCCAGGTGGAGAAAGACAAGTACCAAATGATTTCCCTCATTTGTGGAGTATAATAATGAAGCAAAACTGAAGGAACAAAACAGCAGCAGACTCACAGACTCCAAGAAGGGACAAGCAGTTACCAAAGGGGGTGGGTGGGGAGGGAGGGAGAAGGGGATTGAAGGGCATTATGATTGGCACACATGGTATGGGAGTGTCACAGGGAACACACTGTAGCACAGAGAAGACAAGTAGTGACTCTGTCGCATCTTACTATGATGATGGACAATGACTTCAATGGGGTAATGGGCAGAGACTTGATAATATGGGTGAATGTAGTAACCACAATGTTTTTCATGTGAAACCTTTATAAGAATGTATATCAATGATAACTTAATTAAAAGTAAAAGAAATTTAGCTGCAATCTCAACACAGCAGCATTCATGCCAATTTCTGGTTGGAAAGGTGACAACATGCTGGAACTGAGTACTAAGATGTCTTGGTTCAAGGGATGAAAAGTCACCCATAAAGATGGCAATGCCAGTAGAACCACATTACCTGAAGCTCTGGATTGCATCCTGCCACCAATTTATCCATCTATAAATCCTTGAGTCTGCTCCTTCAAGGTGTTTAAATTGATAGTATTGTTACTCTCCTGGGCTGCATGGAGATTGTTGTTCTCAAACTTGGCATGGTGGTCATATCTTTGCTCCAACTAACATTACAAATGAAGTCAATACTTTCTTGGTGGCCATTGCTAAAATGTCTTAAGGGCTGAAAGAACAAAGACTTTCTAAGTTCTCTGTCAAAAGTCTGGGAGGGCCATGCTTGAGAAACCAGACCAGCTGAGTGGCACCAAAATTGCAAACAGCCCTGACAAAGTATAAAACGATTGAATTGAGGTGATCAACCCTTCACCCTTTCTGCCTAACATAAGGGGGCATGATCTCTGTAAGAAAATAACATCAAAAACCAACATAGCTTTTTTAAAATCATTAATCTACAATTACATGAAGAACATTATGTTTACTAGGCTCTCCCCTTCACCAAGTCCCCCCCACAAACCCCATTACAGTCACTGTCCATCAGCATAGTAAGATGCTGTAGAGCCACTACTTGTCTTCTCTGTGTTGCACAGCCCTCCCCGTGCCCCCCCCACACTATACATGCTAATCGTAATGCCCCCTTTCTCTTTTCCTGCCCTTATCCCTCACTTCCACCCATCCTCCCCAGTCCCTTTCCCTTTGGTAACTGTCAGTCCATTCTTGGGTTCTGTGATTCTGCTGCTGCTTTGTTCCTTCAGTTTTTCTTTGTTCTTATACTCCACAGATGAGTGAAATCATTTGGTATTTGTTTTTCTCCACCTGGCTTATTTCACTGAGCATAATACCCTTTAGCTCCATCCATGTTGTTGCAAATGGTAGGATTTGTTTTCTTCTTATGGCTGAATATTCCATTGTATATATGTACCCCCTCTTCTTTATCCATTCATCTACTGATGGACACTTAGATTGCTTCCATTTCTTGGCTATTGTAAATTAGTGCTGCAATAAACATAGGGGTGGATCTGTCTTTTTCAAACTGGGCTGCTCCATTCTTAGGGTAAATTCCTAAAAGTGGAATTTCTGGGTCAAATGGTATTTCTATTTTGAGCTTTTTGAGGAACCTCCATACTGCTTTCCACAATGGTTGAACTAATTTACATTCCCACCAGCAGTGTAGGAGGGTTCCCCTTTCTCCACAACCTCGTCAACATGTGTTGTTGTTTGTCTTTTGGATGGTGGCCATCCTTACTGGTGTGAAGTGATATCTCATTGTGGTTTTAATTTGCATTTCTCTGATAACTAGTGATGTGGAGCATCTTCTCATGTGTCTGTTGGCCATCTGAATTTCTTCTTTGGAGAAGTGTCTGTTCATTTCCTCTGCCCATTTTTTAATTGGATTATTTGCTTTTTGTTTGTTGAGGTGCATGAGCTCTTTAGATATTTTGGATGTCAAGCCTTTATCGGATCTGTCATTTATGAATATATTCTCCCATACTGTAGGGTACCTTTTTGTTCTATTGATGGTATCCTTTGCTGTACAGAAGCTTTACAGCTTGATATAGTCACACTTGTTCATTTTTGCTTTTGTTTCCCTTGCCCAGGGAGATATGTTCATGAAGAAGTCACTCATGTTTACGTCCAAGAGATTTTTGCCTATGTTTTTTTCTAAGAGTTTTATGGTTTCATGACTTACATTCAAGTCTTTGATCCATTTTGAATTTACTTTTGTGTATGGGGTTAGACAGTGATCCAGTTTCATTATCTTACATGTAGCTGTCCAGTTTTGCCAGCACCATCTGTTGTTGAAGAGACTGTCATTTCCCCATTGTATGTTCATGGCTCCTGTATCGTATATTACTTGACCATATATGTTTGGGTTAAT